ATTTTACCTCTCATCTGCGAATTCCTCCGCTCAGCTTCTTTGTTTGTTTGATGCCCACCCCCGCTCTTGTAGTCTTCACCGCCAACCAAAAAGTCTGTTGATTTCGTCGCCTCCACCATAGCAACAATAATCATCAATCTCTGGTTGGATACCGTTGATATTCCTACAAAGGCATGATGGTTGAGCTGATTTCTCCCCCCGATCCTCATGCTCTGCTCCCTCCTCTCTTAGCTTGCCTTCCCACAGCCTTTGTCTCGACACGCCCTCCTCCAGTACTTCTGCCCCTCCTATCACCTATTCTCCGACAGCGTGTTCAGATCCTCAGTTCAGTCTCCACATCTCCGACTGATTCGTGGTTGCGGTTATTATGCTGGGATTCTGAAAAGGCTGAGCGTCTTCAAGCGCTGGTGGATGGGACGAACTTCGAGCCTCACCCAGTGTCGGGGGAGATCGAACTCCCAGGAGAAGTTCATGTTGCGTACAAACGGGTGGATGATGAGACACTGCACTCGCGAATTCTGCTACCGGAATACAGCTTGAAAGCTGTATATCTCTGGTGTCCCAATGATCAAGACGGAGGTGGGCCCGGATGGCGTGTGGCGGAATTGATGCCCCATGAAGGCGGCGCCGAAAACGACGGGGTTTGGTCATTCTCGATCGGGGAGGCGAATGCTCAGGCAAAGGAACAACTGGTGGAGGATGCTCTTAGGGACGCAGAGCAAGATCAAAAGCTCGCCTCACACACCCAAGAGAAGGACGAAGAGGAGGACGATGACGACGGCTATTGGGCTCAGTATGATGCTACACCTGGCCGAACGCCTTCCGTCAAGACGCCTGCCCCCAATCCGCTTTCTTCTCTCCACCGCCAGGATATGTCCGAAGCATCGTATTTCTCCCGCTATGCCGATGTGCAGCCGGCCATGGATAACCACGACCCATCAGAGGAGCAACCGGAGCTTGGTCCGACTTCGTTGAACGGAGACATGCTGGCGAATTTGCTCCGGCAGCAGGTGAATAGCTCAAGCTTGGAAGAACCAGCTCGTACAAACGGTTACGCCAATGGAACGATTGCCGACGAGACGACCGCAATGTCGCTAGACCATCCTCGGCCGTCTTCCACGTCGTCCACTGGCTCCGAGGCGGCAGTCGCAAAGCTGGAGCAAGAAGCGGAGAATCAGTCTGCTTGTGAAGTTGGCGTGAAGCAACATATCAGCTCCAATATCAAAAGCCTATTCCGGCTCGCGAAAATTACGGGCATCTCGCGTGTAGAATTCCAATCTCTTGTCAAGACGGAATTGGAGATGTTGAATTTGTCTGATGATGACGAATGAAGCGTTGGTGACCTCGCTGACTGACGACGGTTTACACGACAATGATTCTCTTCTTGATTGATATTGCTCGTTTTGTACATTATACCATTCTATTTGCTGCTGTTTCTTGAGCGTCGGGAGCTGCATCACTGTCACATAGGATATCCATTTGTTTAGGACAACAGATTGCTTGCATTCGAGCACAACATTGGAATCGATCGGTAATCATATTATTACAGACCCCGTCAATGATATATCATTCACCATACTTTCTAAAGTATCAGGTTCACGGCCTCATACGAAGCCTCATAAAGTAGTTCATCCATAGAGTCGAAGCTCGGACCAATGTCTTGTTCCGTTCCGCGTGTCCTCCGAATAATGACACGCAATCCGCTTATGAAAACGAACCCCGTAAAATAATATAGCTGGCCAGCGGATTAAGTCGAGTATATTTTCTTCCCCCCCACTCCTCTTTTTAAGCCTGGCTATCATCCATTCTTCTGTACCGTACTCCGTACTACCATGTACTCTCTGTGATCATCATTGTAAGTTATTGCTCAATGGCGATCCTCTGATCGTGGAGCTTATCTTCACTGTCCTCTTCGGCTCGCTGATCTTATCTGGCTATTTCAGCTCTATCTAGGTGATCGATTGTCATTCTCTTAGCTCCTTTTTCTTGCCGTGTACTTTTTCTTCGGATCATGTCTTCATCTCCTTCGTCCTCTCTTCGCAAGAGAGGCGGGAAGAAGGAGGCTTATTCCCAATTGCCTTCGGACGATGCCTCCTCTCCTTTGTCTTCATCGAAGCCGAACGTGGCTTCCAAGAGCCAGTCGGAATGGGACTATAGGCTGGCCTTAGTCGTTCTCACCATCCTGGCGTTCATTACCCGGTTCTACAAGATATCCTACCCTAATGAAGTCGTCTTTGACGAGGTGCATTTCGGCAAGGTGAGTGAAGCTGTCCTCATTTATGGGTCGTACAATCTGACCTGGGGCTTCATTCTCTCAGTTCGCTTCTTATTACTTACAAAGAACTTATTTCTTCGATGTTCACCCTCCATTTGGCAAATTGCTCTTCGCTTTCATGGGATGGCTGATTGGCTATGACGGCCATTTTTTGTTCGACAATATCGGCGACTCCTATATCGATAACAAAGTTCCCTATGTCGCTCTTCGCGCAATGCCGGCCACTCTGGGAGCTCTGACCATCCCGGTGGTCTTCCTCATCATGTGGGAGTCCGGATATTCGCTGCCAGCCTGCGTATTGGCGGCCGGTCTCGTGCTGTTTGATAATGCCCACGTTGGAGAGGACAGACTGATTCTGCTGGATGCCTCCTTGGTGCTGTCCATGGCACTGAGCATTCTGTGCTACGTTCGCTTCTACAAGCTGCGCCATGAACCCTTCGGCCGCAAATGGTGGAAGTGGCTGCTCTTGACGGGCGTTTGTCTCAGCTGCGTCATCTCTACGAAGTACGTCGGTGTCTTCACATTTGTCACCATTGGCGCTGCGGTCTTGGTTGACCTGTGGAACTTGTTGGATATCAACCGCCCGTCGGGAACTCTCAGCATGGCCCATTGGAGCAAGCACTTTGCTGCCCGCGCATTTGCTCTCATCATTGTGCCTTTCTTCTTCTACCTGTTCTGGTTCCAGGTCCATTTTGCAATTCTCACTCGTTCCGGGCCAGGCGATGATTTCATGACCCCCGAGTTCCAGGAAACTCTCAGTGACAACCTTATGTCGGCACAGTCGATCGGCATTGAGTACTATGACACAATCACCATCAGACACAAGGACACCAAGGTGCTCCTTCACAGCCACTGGGAGAAATATCCCCTGCGCTATGACGACGGCCGTATTTCCAGCCAGGGCCAGCAGGTCACAGGATACCCATTCAACGATACGAACAATCACTGGCAGATTCTGCCTTCTGTTCCTCTTCCTAACACCGACAGTCAGAGCCACAGCGTCAAGAACGGCGACATCATCCAGCTCCGTCATGTCGGCACCGACACCATCCTGCTGACGCACGATGTTGCTTCTCCTTACTACCCCACCAACCAGGAGTTCACCACCGTCTCTCATGAATTGGCCAATGGTGAGCGACACAACGACACGCTGTTCGAGATCAAGATCGAGAACGGCAAGCCTCAACAGGAATTCCGCACTCTTTCAAGTCATTTCAAGCTGATTCATGTACCCACTCGCGTCGCGATGTGGACCCATACAAGTCCCCTTCCTGAGTGGGCCTTCAAGCAAGCCGAGATTAACGGTAACAAGAATGTCCTTCAGACGAGCAATCTTTGGTTCGTGGACACAATCGAGTCGCTGGAGGAAAGCAGCCCCCGTACCGTGAAGAAAGAGCGCCAGGTCAAACATCTCCCCTTCTGGCGCAAGTACCTTGAGCTGCAACGGGCCATGTTCTTCCATAACAATGCTCTGACCAGCAGCCATCCGTACGCCAGTGAGCCCTTCCAGTGGCCCTTCCTACTCCGAGGTGTCAGCTTCTGGACCAAGAATGACACCAGAGAGCAAATCTACTTCCTAGGCAACCCCATCGGATGGTGGATTGCCAGCAGTCTGTTGGCTGTCTTTGCTGGCGTCATCGGCGCTGATCAGCTGTCCCTCCGCCGTGGAGTCGACGCTCTTGAAGAGAGTAAGTACTAGGAAACCTCCAGTCCACACGACAACTCGCGCTCTAACCTTGTCTTCCAGTTTGGGGCCATGGCGCTCGTTCTCGTCTGTACAACAGCACTGCCTTCTTGTTCCTCTGCTGGGCTGCCCACTACTTCCCCTTCTGGTTGATGGGTCGCCAGCGTTTCCTTCACCATTACCTTCCGGCTCACGTCGCATCTTGTATGGTCGCCGGTGCTTTGATCGAATTCATTTTCAACCTGCAGCCGATCCCGGTTGCTAGGCCTCCAAAGGAAGATGATCCAACCGGCAAGTCCAAGGCCCATGGTAGCCCCGGTCATTTCGTCACCGCGAAGGAGCGAATGGGCCGCCAGTCGCTCATTGCCGGGTGGGTTGCAACCCTGGTTATTCTGAGTGTGACAATCTGGGGATTCTGCTTCTATGCGCCCCTGACATACGGCACCCCTGGCTTGGATGTTGCGGGCGTCAATGCACGGAAATGGCTGGGCTATGACTTGCATTTCGCCAAATAGTCAGCTTTCGTTTAGGCGGCGCATTGCCTGGCAGTCGGCCAGGCATTTGATGTCCATCTGTGTATGATAGGATCCTGTGCCGCCAGGGGTCCCTCTTCTCCTTCAACACTGATATTCAGTGAAGCAATTCTCTGGAAGCGCATGCTATACAATGACCGCACACTAGGAGCTTCTGTGGCAAGTGGATGGTGGATGATGATGTTAAGTGATGCCCTTTTTCTTCATTCGTCAGAGATAATCTTCGCGGTCGAGCCCACGTGCAGGCGTGGAATTTCCTCTCTTTCCCGTCCTTCAAGTCCATACTGTCCAAATCTTTCTATACATTTATCTTGATATCCGTTAGCAATCAGCTTCATTTACTGTCTACCCTTACTGTAGCATGCGAGCTAGCAACCACAATGAGAAGATCAACTCATATTCCAAAGCGTACAAACTCTAACGCCATCCGTGGAGTATCATATATGCAGAAGTAAAACAAACAACAAAAATACATCACAAGTCTATATGGCGTCGGCTATATTTCACCCTAGCGGGTCATTCTTTTGCCGATCTCACTCTCCCACCCACGGACTCGCTCGAATCCATTCGACGCGGTCTGGTAGTCGAGCATGGCCTGGTAGACCTCCTCCTGGCTTGTGAGAACAAAAGGCCCGTACTGCACGACCTTCTGATCCAGAGGCTGGCCCGCCACAAGGATGAAGCGAGACTCTGACTCGGCATTATCCGGGACCGACGCCTCGACATAATCACCCGCCCGGTCAAAGACCACATTATGGAACTCCTTGACGATCCGCGTGGCGTCATTCGAGCCAAAGACCGTCGTCCCGGAGAGCGTATACGCAAACGCATTCCAACCCTGCGGCAGCGGCTGGGAGATCCGACCGCCCGGCCGGATCGTCACGTCCAACAGCCAGACAGGCGTGTATGCCAGATCGCGCACAGAATCGACACCATGCGACTGGCCCGAGATGACCTTGACAGTGACGCGGCCGCCATCAACCTCCGCGACAGGGATCTCGCTCGCGCGGAGATCGCGGTACCTTGGCTCGCACATCTTCAGCTCCTTGGGCAGATCGACCCACAGCTGCATGCCGACGTTGGGGCTGCCGTCGGGATTCTCGTGGGGCATCTCGGCGTGCATGATGCCGCGGCCGGCGGTCATGAACTGCAGGTCGCCGGGGCCGATGGTGCCCTTGTTCCCCGCGAAATCTTCGTGGTCGACGCCGCCGGAGAGCAGGTAGGTGATTGTCTCCTGGCCGCGGTGTGGGTGGTCTGGGAAACCTGCGCCGCGGCCGATGGTGAAGTGGTCCAGCATGAGGAAGGGGCTAAAGTTGCGGAGTTTGGCGGTGCCGATGGACCGGCGGACGCGGGCGCCGGCCCCTTCGGCTTGTTCGATGGCCAGGAAGGCTTGACGGATTGCGCGGGGGACGGCCATGTCGGTGAGGGGGAGGACGACCGGCTCGATGTGTGTGGTGGCGGGGGAAATGGAGGCGGTGGTGATGTTGTTCTTTCGCAGATACTGCGACAAAGTGGTTGAGAGTTGTGCTTTGAGAGAGGAGCTTAGGATTCCGAGGTGAGCCGAATCAGAGGCGAACTGATATGAGAGGAAGATTGCTGCGATGCAAATTAAAAGTGATAAGAGGACTTTCATCGATCACAGCCGGAGCTACTTATACTCGACGGGCACAATGTTAGGAAAGCTGTAGAAGAGCCTGGAGCGAGGATGGAAGCTTCAACTGAGAAAAGTCAGCGTTAGTCAGTCATTAGTATATATATCTTGGGATTTAGAATTGCTGTGAAAGTCAATCCATCTGGGCCTGTGGGGTTTCATTCTCGCCGACTTGCCAGAGGTACGGAGTAAACTGCATTGATCATGATTAATTAGTTTGATGAAGCGTTGATTACCAAGATCCCCGTCAGCAGGCGCTAGGCTCACCTGGGACGCTGGGCCCCACTAGATTGGGCCTTGAGGCCTGAGTCCTCAGGCACAAAATTTCTATCGGTTCTCTGTCAGCATTCCAGAAGATTTGCAAATCATTATTCATTGCAAGTTTGCCGGGTTATGTTGAAAGATAGTTGCCGAACGTCCACTAATTCCTCGATGGTCTAACGGTCATGATTTCCGCTTGTCACTCAATTGAGAACGAGCGCGGGAGACCAGGGTTCGACTCCCTGTCGGGGAGAATCTTTTTGTTGTTTTCTATACAACACCAGGTATAAGTGACTCGATTTTTGCTTTTCTAATTTATAGTTGTAGTATATTATATAGTCAGAACTCAACTACAGAGTACTGGAATGCTGCATATCACCCTGCCAGAGCATACACTTATAAAATCTCATTTCTCAGACCAAGGCTATGTACCGTACATACACATCGAAATTGGCAGAACGACAAAGGAAATCACATGAGAATGTGGAAGGATAAGATCACAACATACAGGATCAGCGCAGTGGGATAAACGAAAGGGACAACTCGAGAGGCGAAACCCCAGCCAAAGTATGTGGCAAGCAGCAACAAGACTGAACACAACCATGGCAACAACAAACTGTGCAAGAGAGGAAGAGCTATATCCTCGTGCATGGAAAATGGTAGCAAAAAGAAGACGGAAGGCTATCTCTCTTCCAAAATTACGTAGGGCTCCAAATGGCGTGAATGGCGGGCGAAACGAAGGGGAGACGAGAACGAAATAGTCTAGCTGGCTGAAGCTGTAATAGGGGTACCCCGAAGCATTGCTTCAGAGCTCGCTGAGTCGAATCAAATAATGCCGTGAATCAGTTGCTGTACGCGTCTCAGCATAATGCTCACCAGAAACAGGAGACATCATCCATAAGGTGCATTCAATCCCGCTGGCAAGAAAGAGCAGAAAATAATGTATAGCAGAGGAATGATCATGTGCCGCAGGACAAATCAGATTATATACACCGCGCTCTCTTAGAAGCCGAATGGATTTGTGGGCGCTAGAAGGAGAGAACAGTCAGTGGTTTTGAACAAATGATGAAAGGTTGCACATCACTTACTAGCTTGTGCAAGGTTAGCCCGCAAACCTGTTGGCTGAGGAGCCAACTTCTTGGGAGCATCATGCTTGACCCCAAATCGTACGGGAGGAGCTGGTCCAGTCTTCTGTGGCTGCAAAGGTGCAGCTGTGGGCTGTTGAGGAATAGGGGGTATCGGTGGCGGAGAGGTTACAGTATAAGGCATACTGCTCGTACCGTTCATGCCAGTAGGTTGGGGTTGGAGAGCCGGAGGAAGAATCGAGTTAATACCTGTCGGCATTGGCTGCTGTGGCTGGGGTTGAAAGCCCCCGAAGCCTGTCGGCTGCGGTGCAAGACCCTGGAAGCCAGTCTGCTGTTGCTGTAGCTGCTGAATGCCAAATTGTGACTGTGGCTGGAACCCAGTGGGCTGTGGCATCAATCCGCCTGCAAACTGATTCTGCGGCATGAACCCGGTCGGCTGCGGTTGGAGCGATGGATTGAAACGTTGCTGACTCAATTCGGCCATACTCTGGCCAGGCGGGGCGATCTGCGGGCCGGGTTGAGGAAGACCGGTCAGCTGCGGTTGCAATGGAGGGGGACCAAAAGTACTTGGCTGCTGAGGGAAGTTCTGTGGCGCGGAAAGCGGTCTCTGTGGAGGGGGCGGAAGGAGTGAGCTCTGAGCCATGTTCTGAGGGGGTTGTGGACGCTGCCTCGATGCCTGCTGAAATCCTGTCTGTTGAGGGCTAAATGTTTGGGCGCCCGTCTGCATAGGCTGCTGTGCTATTTGTGCCACTTGGTTGAAAAAGCCAGGAGTGGCACCTGTCTGTTGTGGCTGCATCTGGGGCGTAGGCACTGCAGTCGGCTGTGGCTGGATAGCAGGGGGCGCTGGCGGAGCTTGAGAGGCCTGAGGAGTGGGTGCGGGCGCCGGCTGTGCAGGGGTTGGCTGGAGAGGTGCTTGCAGTAGAGATAGGTCCGCCATTGCTCCAGTAAGTTGTTTTTGCACTGGAGCTTGGGTTGTAGCGGCCGTTGCTGTGGCCGGAGGTGGGGATGAAGGAGGTGGCGCCGAAGACGCGCCGTGTTTAGGTTGCTTCACCTCCCAAGCATCGTCATCAAAGCCACGCTGTACCGGCTTCTCGACTGCAGCAGAAGCGGGTGGTGTTTCGGTGCGCTCCTGAGGTTTGGGTGCGTCCTCGTTCTGCTCGAAGGCCTTCGGATCGACCACATCACCAGCTTGGACTGCGGGTGCCGGCCTGCCCTTGCGGGTGTTGTTGCGTAAAACACCCCCTGGGCCGGAGAAAAGACCGCCGGGAGAGCCAGCCTCCCCATTGCTAATGACCTCTTCTCCGCCGAAGCTGACATTGCGCAGCTTGGACTTGGATCCAGTTCTGCCGAACAAATTGTCCAGATGCCGCATAACCCGCAGAATGTCACCCTCCTTCAATCCAAGGGTACGCAGGGTCTCAGAGGTGATGTCCGGTAGAATCGCTTCATCCATGGAGTCCTTGATAAAGTTCTGAGCATACCGCTCGCATTGATGAGGTCCAACTCCCGCTTTCAGGAAGAAATCAAACCAATCGTACTCGGGCCCAACTGAAGCACCGGGGCGACTAGCCTCGGATTTCGGCTCGGATTTTTGAGCTCGGCGGCGAATATCAGACAGAGGCTTGTCTTCATCCAAAGACACGCCAGTAAGTTTTTCCACGTATTCGAGATCCTCAACAGACATCTTGGGGATGGGGACAGCGATCTTGACTCCGTTGGTCTTATGGAGGTGGATCTTCCCATCTTGCAAGCCGATAAATTGCGCTTCGACCGTGAAAGTCTTGGTACGATCTGTCCACTGTCTTGTTTTGGCGGGATCTGGTTCTATAATCTCATTTAGATGGGGGATTTCAATTCATTAGGAAGTTAGGCAAAGCGGGGGCAAAGGACTTACTCGGCTTGTTGTTGCTCTTGCTGTCACGTTTTTTGTGCTGCTTGAAATTCTCAGTATCCTCTCTTACCAAGGCACTGTTTTTTTGATAGGGTAGCTTAACAGCGCAGCTTACCTCAGAGGTTCGTGAATCTATCGAGTCGGTCCTCGATTTCCGCATCGCTTCCTTGGCCAGGCGCGTCTCTTCGAGCCGATTTCTTTCTACCGTTGATAGGCCCGACTCGACGCCAGTGGGTTGACTGGAAACAAAGCCAGTGATCTCGATGTAGCTGCTTGGTACCACGCCCTCTTTGCCATTCTTCATGCGTCGCACCATCCACCATTCCTCAGATTTGGTGTCGTCCAGAACGACAACCTCATCGCCGGCAGCCACAGTAACCTCGTCATCCCCTTGCGCCATGAAATCATACAGTATTTGACCCTTCTTCTTGCCCCCGCCTCCTGCACCAGCCGCAATGACTTCCTTCAGGCCCTCGGCACGGTAGGCTCCAGAAATTTCACCGAGCGCGGAAACGATCTCTCGAGCGGTGTCTTTGGCCCCAGCATGAAAATCAATGCTTTTGCTGGGGCGGACGAGGTCGAGGAAGACATGCTTGCCTTCGATAGAGTAATGGGTGAGCCTATCCGCAGTCCATTCTTGCATATCGCCGTCCCCTTCTGGTGAGATAAAGATGGTTCCAGTCGCGATGTTGATTCCCAATGTCGTTGGCATCTTCTTCCTCTTGCCCATAACCTCAACCATTTCATTGATGTTGTACAGATGGTAGCCAGAAGGGGAACGAGGCGTGGACTGCCCGATTCGATTATATGGGGGAGACTCCTGCACGTGGCCCTGGCTATCCCGCTCCCTCACCGCGGCATACTGAGTGCGTGGAGGAGGAGAGGGTTCTGGCGGAGAGTACCGCTCCACTGGAGGAGAGAGCTGTTGCGATGGAGGCCGCTGCGGTAACGCTGGAGGCGGCGGCGAGGGTTCCCTCTGATAGCTGTCTTCTGGTTGATAAGAGGGTCGCTGGGGCTGCGGCGGCGGGATATCCCTGGAGGGTTCGGGCTCCACGGATGATGCATGCTGCTTATGAATGATATCTGCTATTGCTGCTGCCGCTGGGTTCTGTATTGTGTCAATCGGAGAGCTAGTAGACGCGGGCGCGACCGGTTCCTCGGCCGGCACCTCGACCGGGCGTTGCGGAAGGGCCGGAGCGGACGGCTCGACAGGAGCAGGAGAAGGGAGAGAAGGCGTAGCGGTGGTAGCGACGGGAGTAGCGCCCTCCTGAATCTCAATGTAGTTTGCAGGGGCGAAGCCGAAATCCCCATTGACCCCGACTAATGTCCAATCTGGATCAGAAGTATCGTATACCATCAGTTCCGCATCCTCGGAGAATGAGACTTCTTCGTCGGTCTGACGTGTATAGTCGTACAATGCCTTTGCATTGCTCATGGCCGGAGCCTATACAGTTTGGATTAGTATCCTGTTAGCATATCCACCACCTCATCAACAAAGTAAAAGTGTCCGCGGTAGAACCACGATTGGTATATCCAAACATCGCAAGCACGCCTCGACTCTCAGATAGGCTTGTTCTCCCAGATTCTAGGCACACGGAGTGTCCCACGACAGTGCAGCTTACCTCCTCGACATAGTTATTCGGTACAAGTCCCTCCGGTTCATCCTCATCATCCCGTTCGGCCTTCTTCTTCGCTTTCCACCAATCGTCTTCGTCGCTTTTCTGAAGAATGTAAAGCAAATCACCTTCGCGAAGTTCCAATTCACCTTCGCCTTGGGGCTGGTAGTCGTAGACCGCTTTGTATACCCCGAGGAACCCCATCTTGGATTCAAGCCCCCGGGCGAGCGCCGTCTAATTTTCCAGCGGTTCCGACGGTTCTGGCGCGGTCAGGAAGTGACGCTGAGTGTTTTATCAAAAGTCAGGACGAGGCTGCCGTCCGGTCGGTAGAGGCTGTCAAGTTCGAAAGAGTAGGTAGTCGAGATAGTCGGAGGCCGGTTGATGGTCGATAAATGGGGGGGAACCGGCAGCCTTGGCAATTGGGTATCCCCTCTCCCGAGTTCTGGCCAGATCAGGGTAAAGGGGTTAATTATGCGATGCAGAAGACTTGGGGGGAAGGCGACCGTTTCAATTACACAAATTAATTGAAGTGATCGAGGGGGAGAGCAAGATAAATAGAGATGATAGGGGTAGAGAGGGAGAGGTAGAGGTTGAGTAAGAAAGAGGATGAGGTTGTCAGCCAGAAGCTTGTAGTTCCATAGACTACTCCGTGGTTAGTACCTGGGTTGGTGGCCCCGACTGCTTGGGTTCCATGACTACGCACTACCCTACCTTACTACTATCTCTAACGCTACAGTGAACAGGTTCACTTGCGATCTTCACAATTCAATCCCTAAGATTGCAACAGCCAGAAAGAATCATGTACCTGAGTATATCTGCAATTTCACCTGTCACCTCATCTACAGCGCCGGGGAAATGGTCCCGCCTAAACGAATCTACTACTAGTCTACTGTGCTAGACGCTTCTCACGCTGGGGCTTTGGGCACCTGTTCCTGGCGTCAACTAGAAGCGCTGATCAGGTCAAAACGGATGATTCCCTCGTGCCTGTTCCCTTGATGACAGGGAGGATCCCTACGTCATTTTTAACTTGCTCTACGTTTGTGGTGTCTTTAGCCAGTTGCCCCTTTCATTAAAGGGAGGCTTCTAATCCCCCCTGGCTGTATTCGGCAAAATATTTCAGAAATGTGATAGAAAATGGTATCTCAGATAGTAGTTGAGGCAGATAATAAAATCAAATATACAAGATCAAGACAAAATTACCCATCAAATCCGCTAGAGCTCGTCCTTGAAGAAGATTTCCTCGCTGCCATCTTCGGCATCATTAGTGGTCGGCGCTGATTCATCTGGCTCCTGACGGTCTATTTTCTCTTGAGCTTCCTTGCTTTCCCCTCCAGTCTCTGCCTTTGGCTGCGCCTTATCAGATGTAGCTTCCTGAGCCCGGTGCGATGTAGAGCCCTGCGCAGCCTGATCTTCTTTCTCATTATCGTCAGGGTCAACGGTTCCGACTAAGCCACGCTCGCCATTCGACTCAACAATCTCGAGTGTCCAGTCCTTGCCCTTGGCAACCTCCTCGAGTCGGCTCTTTAGCGTCTCAATCTTCTCGGGGTCAAGGCCGTATTTCTTCAACTCCTCCTTGGACAACCTGGTGACTTCTCCATTTTGGCGTTTGGCAACCACCTCAATCTTCTCTTCTCCAACGGATGCCACTCGACCCTTCTCGATCTGCTTGCCCTCTGACCCCACCCATTTCTGCGCCCCGACCTCGATATCCCCGACAACAGGGAACTCGGGTGTAATCGCGGATTCGACGAGCTGCTGAGCCAAATGATATTCCCGCCTTGCTTCCCACTCAGAAACCTCTTCCTCGGAGAGAATCTCCCGGCATTCGATCGCGTGCGCCTCGTCCTGCTGAGGTGGCAGAAATGCGACATCATTGCACAAGCGCGGAGTGTAGATCACCATCAGATATGAGCAAGTAGTAAGCTCCTTGATCCAACCGATCCGATCGGTTGATTGCGGATGGCAGTGGAACTGCACTTCGATCTTCCGATCTTTGCCTGTCAAGTCGCACTTGGTTCCGCCACGCAGTCGCTGCACTAGGTACCGCGACCCGCCTTTAGTCTGGAGCTCGGCGACATCTGTCGTTGTCTTTTTGTGCTCCGCATCCCCCTCCAAATCGTCGTCGTCGCCACTATTGGGGAACCTGCCCAGCACGAAAGAATGAGTCGCAGAGTCTTCTATCGGCGGGTAGTTGGGTACGCCTGGGCCGGAAGGTAGTGCATGAAACTGCTTGATTTGCTTCTTGTAGCAGAATGAGTATGACCACCATCCGGATATGTAGTACATGCATTTGCCTTCCATCTCGCGCAAAAGCTCCAGACCACGATCCGTCGCGCGTGCGATCTCTCTCCGCTCATCCTCTTCATTGACACTTTCCGCTCCGTTCGTCTGGTTCTTGTCTTCGTTCTCAACTTGCGGGATTGAACAGAGATATCGCTGTCCGTCAAGGAGCATCTCCTCGTATGCGAACCCAGGTCCTTCTATCGCTTCTTCATTGTCTTCTTCGGATTTATCTTTTCGGCCTCCCAAATATACTTGCGCATGATTGCGTTCGGCGAATGTCTTATCAGCGGAAGACGAAGAGCCCTCTTGTTGAGTCTGTAATAACTCCCTTGCCCGTGTATCGAGAATATAATCATCAGGGAAGAAGACTTGGAACTATAAGAAAATACCAGTTAGCACAATTGCCTGTTCATTTTATGCAGAAGCCAAAAAAAGTGAAACACGTGTGGTATACTTGAGGATACGCAAGGAGATCATCCTGTATGTTGAACGCCTTCTTGCTGGCCCATGCACCGGAACCGGCACAAGCCAGCACCAGCAATGGGGTAAGAGTCCGTATGCGTCGGACCATGACTGCGTGTTTTTGCCCCGATAGTTGTTACTAGATACCAATGGATCGTTATGACAGAGAATGAGAGTGCTCGCTGCTGGAAGTTCCGGTGGGTGAGTCCCTGAGGTTGCTGCCTTCTGTGCGGGGTGCCGGGGTCAATGAAGTGAAAGGTGGCAATTCCTTCTCATGGTTATACCAGCATATGGGAATCAATCCTCAGAATGCAGAAGTACGTTATTAGAAGCTGTAGCTTCAGAACATGACAGCTGTAAACAACATCATTGATCTGCTATCATCGGCGGAGATCCGCATTGTGTCCTTATCGACACGTGGATAAGGATCTACTTAGGTCATCCACCGATGATACTTCGGAGTAATGGATTCAAGGAAGCGAAGCAAGGAAAAGGAACGAACACAATGGAATCAATACTTGATTCCCACCAGAGGGTATTATTTAACTATCTTGAAGTGATACCAATCTCCAGGTATTTGATACTTCAATACTATAATCGTACCATTCCCTGAAGTGTCTAAGTGCAACGACCACCTGTGGGTCCAGTATTCAACAAATGCGATTTGAACGCATAGAGATGGCCTAGAGAATGCTTTGAGGATGATTGGAGACATATCCAGAACCATAAAGCCAACCGAACTCCATTTAGAAACAACGCAACCAGGGTATTTCTCACAGTAGATACCTATCCTCCCAGATATGGTGGGGAAGAATAGAAAGAAGAAAATACATCAACAAAGAGGAAAAGTGAACGATGCGCAAGCTATGTTCGTATCATACAAAGTCATGAGAAATGGGCATAGACATCGGCGTGGCAGGAGAACGTATAGCAGGTTAAGTTCGAAGGACACGGGCTTGATGCCTTCGCATTGACTGACCAAGTGCAGAGCATCATCAAGTCTCTCCCCAGAGACCAAAAACGGAGAGATCTTCGGCCATGTAGAGAAGTCCGTTCTCCGAGAATATTACATCCGACAAGGGTGTTTGGCCCCCGGCATCTGTTCCCATTCCCAGCTGAGCGGCTGTGAGGGTTCCTCCCGGTGAACAACCAATGGGTATTCCCGTTGTTGTCAGGGTAGATATAGTACTATCGTACGGCAGCGCAGCCGCTCCCTCAGGACCACACAGGGTATTCCAAATGTCATTCTCCGATTGACCTGTGGAGGCCGTGGGTTCCGGCCCTTGCGCAGAAAGCGAGCCTGTAGCGAGCTTTTCGGGAGATAAGGGAGAAGGGGCCGACTGCTCGCCACTGTGGCTTATAGCCACGTTGTCGTTGGAGGCTGATGGTTCGCTTGTAAGCCCTACTTGGCCAAACAGCTGGTCGACCTGTTTGCTGCGGCGTTCCATCCATTGACGGTTTCGACGGCGAACGTATTCGGCCACCGCGCCTCGCAGGTATTTGATAATCTGGTAAAAACGACAGGCATGCGGATCATGCGGTACAAATAGTCCCAGGAACTTTTCGGACTTGTCCATGCCTTCCTCGAGCGGGAGAAGATTGTCATAGTCAGCAAAGAACGCGGCTCCCAACACGACGGCCGAGTTGAATACTGAATTGATCAGAAAAGGTAGTCTCCGAGGTAGAGCTTCAAACCGAGACAGGCCGTCCACAATGTTGAGACAGCGTAGAGCAGAGTATACACAAGCGTCAGAGAAAAGAGCGATGCGAGAGGCGCTGGCTCTCGCATCGTTGGAGCTGGTAGCCGAATCACACTTACTTCTCACGTATTGAGACACACGAAATATGAAGAACGGCCGAGTTAACAGGATGATTGACCAGTAATATGCGCCGAATACATGCGCCGCAGCCAGCATACTCTCAAGATTTTTTGAACTCAACCGCTCCGTCTGGACACTGAGAAAGATTGGCAGGTTCCGGACCCAAGCGCGGTGCTGATTCGAGATCGTTTCCGCAACATTGATCGAGACGACTTGTCTCATGTAGACTTCCGTCAGGATGCGATCAAAGATACGGCATAATGCAACCACGCATAGAGATAACTGCGCTTCAGGTTGGGGTCGCTGTTGCTCCCCTGCAATTGTCGCCTGATCTCGTATATCATAATCAAAATCCGAGGTCGCCGGAGGACGTCCTAAGGAAGCGCTGAGGAACAGGTCCATCATCCGTAAGCTTTTCCAAACTCGCTCCCGGGCCCGACGCTCCCGAGTGCAGAATAGAGCATTCGCATCCCTTCGATGAATGCCAACGGCATATGCGGCCCGTAAGGCGATTCCCAGGTTCATGAAGGCGCCATTGCGACGACACGCACCAAGCATATACATTGAGATCAAGACATAAGATTGGATCGTGTAGAGGCTGGGGGTTTCGGTGAAAGCGGAGAATGCTAGCTGGCGGCCACTGACGAAGTACTGTTCGGCGAGATCTTGATTGATCTCCGAAACCTGAACTCCGATGGCGAGAACAAGGTAGAAGATCGAGCTGACAGTATCTTCATCGCCAGTCGGATTCCCAACCCAGTTGGCGAGCCGCGGATAGAACTCCTCGAGATCGAATAGATCCAGTAGTGGACTGGTAGCAAGGACATATTGACGAGCGAGTCGTTGCGCCTCGTCGTTACTCGGTGGCGCAGATAACGGTCCTGTTTGGGTAGCAGAACTACTCTGAAAAGCCTCAAGCATGGAGTGCCGTGACGTATCCTCTGTGAACTCGCATCGCCCGATTGACAAAGAGACGATACGACGTACACTTTGCAGGAACGACAAGCTCGCAGAGTCGCCAATATACATGAATTTTCCTTGCCCATCACGAAGCAGCCTGGCGACCTTGGGCACAGGCGCCGTCCCATCCTTGTCATCCGTTGTTTGTTGCTCCAAGTCTGCGCTATGATCCTCGAGGGCGTTCAGTAAGCGATCCATGGCCGTTTGCCTCTGCGGAGTCGGCACCAAGTGCTCGCTAAGAAGCATAGTCTCCTTAGGGGCATTGGGCTTCAGTAAGCGGGCCGGTTTATCTGAGAAGTTACATTCCGCTTCCTTGCGACGCTGTATGCAAATCGTACACGGCTGTTCTCCGTTACATTTCTGCTTTCTCCGTTTACAGCTGTCGCAAGCTCTCCGGCATCGAAGTCGTGCGCCAGGAGCTGTACTAGCCCTAGGCATGGCTTAAAATTGTAGCGTCTTTGCGCAAGTGGTCAGGCCACAGGATATTCATGGATGCATGGAATGTCGAAGCCAAGACGCGGGGTCCGCCTCGTAACTCGTTGTTGAGATGTTGGATTGCGAAGCGGAAGAAATGCCAGGACCCAGATTGGCTATCAAGTGCTTAGGGAAATCATTGCTCGATGGTCAAACCCATAATTAGTGCGGGAATCAGAATGCTTGCCCGAGAAAGAAGAAGAAAAGGCGAAAGTGAAGCCGTTAAGATAGGACGATCCGATCCCCCAGGATTAGCACTGCGGAGGATAGCTGCTTACTAAACTGCCGCTTCCACGAGCCTTTTTTAAAGTCTCCAAGCAGCCAGAAAGCGATATCATCAAGTGCTTCGGAATACCTCGCAAGGACCTTTCAATTGGGCAGTAAATGAAAGGATCTGGACTCTGATGTAAGTCTGAACAAAAACAAACAACCTCTCTTATATGTCGTTTCTATCGCACATTCCTTGGACCTCCATCAAAGAACTACCAGCTATACAGATGCTAGCTGCCATATGGAATGCGATCTTCCAGGTTTCCCCGTCCTATTTTAAGATCCGTCGTGTGAAAGACAAGTAATGTGCTTGGCAAAATTTTATCAATTCGTATTGGTATCCCATGTGATCCTCGCCCGTTTATTCTGACCGAAATGATACCACTTTGCCCCAAGTGTCAGCTGTGCCCCAAATGCCCTGTCGCAGGCATGACAGTTGAACAATCTGACTATGGTCGACGAACAAATTGACATAGATGCCAAACTCCCTGATATACCAGTTGAAAACCTTGGGATCTGCCGCCTCGAACATGACCCGCTCAGACGGCAATTCCTTCATTATTTTGGACACGACGTCAGTCCGCCATGACTGCACATTTTCTGTTATGCCCTCAGATTCGATCATCAAGCGTTCGACACCCGCGTCGAGGAATTTACGGCCCATGTTAACGAGCTTGCCCGGGTCGGAAGTTCCAATAGCCTCAAGGCCAGAAGCAGGTGTATCACCGCCAGCACCAAACTGAATGCCGAGCTCTGGCTTTGCCTTCAGCTTGTACGCGTGGACTTTGTCAACCAGGCGAAGCCAGTCATCTTCTGGGAACGATAGGAAACCAGATGAGAGTTCAATAACATCGAATCTTTCAATGTGTTAGTCTCGAAGATCAGGCAGATGGTACGAGAGGCAGAGCCTCGACGCGTGTAAACGAACCCGAGATCCTTGCATTTCTTGAGGTACTTATCAAAGACTGAATTGGCATCGGGTTGTGTGAGAAGATGCTCGGCCCATCCCCCCTGTGATCAGCGGACCCCGGTCAGATGCTAATTTTCCTGGTTTCTGCGATTGAACAAAACCTACAGTTGAAACATAAACACCGTAGTCGTGGGCAAGATCTATCAGCTCTCGCAAGGGCTTTTCCTGGAAGAGAGAGAAAGAGCCTGGGTCTCAATCAGCCGAGCTCAAAAGGTGATAGACTTCAGTGATGCATACCTCCTGCGAATTTTAGACCATCTACATGTGGGCCCATTCTGAGCAGAGCGTCAATACCTGTGTTGCGAATCTCTTGTCGGCTCTTCCGATGCTTACGTTTCTAGGACGTCGGCTAAGTATCGCTTTCCCATCACCTTGAATGACACCGCTTGTATCAGCTCTGCGATCCTCGAACGACACTATGCTCGTTCTGGTTTGTCTGGGTTCCCGAAAGCGCATACCGTATAGTATGGACCTCTGATCTCTGTGACCCCTTTGCTTCTAGGCTTAGGAGGCCTAGGATTTGATCGTGCAAATCCAAATCCATGATGTTTATCTTGCAGCAATGTCAGTTGCTTTTGCGCCGGACATGACGTCGCAAAATATCTTGATAATCCTGTTGTTGTCGCGAGTTTGGACCCCTGTCGCGGGACAGGCCCAGCGATATATTTCGAGATCGTAGCAACGCGAGGTGTGGATGCCAGCATCATCTTGGTTTTAATGCCCACAAATTGGATAATACTGTGTTTAAGATTTCACCTTCTACTTTTGCAGCTCGAGTATATCTTTGGTTCTGATATTTGCGTGGCCTATGAATCGAAATAGCTGGTAGTTAAGGAGCAACTTGCAGCCCCAGTCGCTGAGGGGTGAGTCGTTTGACGTCAAGCATATGTAACTCAAATGCGGAGAATCCAAACAATGAATACTATTATGTCTTTATCTGCCGCCTTAAACAGCTCCATGAAGCCAAGATGGCGACAGTCCTGAGAGCTCGTGACGTCATTTCCTGAAGACAACTGCTGCTCCTGAGGCATGAACTGATTGCCTGCTTGCGCATACATTGTTCTACTCCAAGAGGTTACAATATCCATGCCAAGATTAGAAGGGTCCAACTATCAGTGACAATAGAAGTATTCTATTGACTGTATTCGATCAAGGGGTTCCACATCAACATGGAATTGAATAGTCACTAGAGAGGTATGTGTACCCTGTTAAAGAACAAGTACCGGCTACAGTTGTACATACTTAGGTACGGAGTGAAAGGATATCACGGAAAGCAGAGTGCCCCTTTACCACACACACTGCATTTGAAGGACCTGTGTTTCAAATTACAAGCTGCATGTATGACTTCGGAACCCTGCGGCGTACATGGTGATCTTTACACTTAACGTAATCCACCACCGAGCGGCACACACCACCGAGCGGCACATGATTTTTACCAAAATTAACAAACCAGGAAATCTTCTACTACTGCGCAATCAAAATAAAGCTATTTTCATACATAAGAGAATT